TTTATGTGTGTGTGTGTGTGTGTGTGTGTGTGTGGCCAGCTCAGCCCACCAGGGGGCAGGGCTGGCTGGCATGTGGTGCTGGGGGATTGAACCGCGGTCTCTGTGCTTTGCCAAGCTTGTTCCAAGTAGGTGCTTTAGACCACTGAGCCATCTTGCCAGCCCCGTGAATAAAATTTAAGATCCCTTTGTATAATTTTGCTTTGTAGTCAACTGGCTTGCTTTAAGAATTTATAATAATAGCACTAATCACATCAAATACCAACTAAATGGATGTGAATTAAATGAAATCAATAGAAATTCTGATGATGATTTTAAATTTTTTAGAATAAGAGTTATACGTTAGTCTATTCTGTCTCAAAATTGGTGACATTGGAGCCAGGCATGGTGGTGTATGTGCACCTGTAATCCCAGCAGTAAGAGACTAAGACAGGAGGATTACCATAGCTCAAGGTCAGCCTGAATTACAAAGCAAGATGGTGTCACAAAGAACAAAAAAAATTGATAACTTTGGGCTGGGGTTCAGTTCAATTTTTTTTTATTTATTTATTTATTTTTGCAGAACCGGGGATTGAACTCAGGCCCTTGCACTTGCCCGGGAAGTGTTTATTCCAGTGAGCCATCTCCCCAGCCCTGGGGTTTAGTTCAGTAGAAGAGCATTTGCCTGGCACACATGACACTCTGGGTATGATCCCTGGCACAGGGGAAAGAAAGAAATGCAATATGATGCTGGTTATTAATTAGAAAATAAACCTGGTGAAAGGAAAGCATAAGATGTTGTTCTTGTCTGAAGTGAACGTGCATAATTATGTTGGAAAGAATCAAAATGTCATTGAAGTAGTAAATAAGATAAAGTATTCTTCAGGTAATTGGTTTGTCACAATCCAATTCACATTTTTACTGATTGCCTAACATGAGCCCCTAGTTGAATGAACAGATCAAGTTCCCTTAATCTTGGGGTTATTTAATTTTTTTTTCCCCAAGACAGAGTCTCACCATGTAGTCCAGCCTCCTGAGTGATAGGATTATGTATATGTGCCACCCCGCATGGCTCAACCACCAAATATTTTATCCCACATTTTTATATTCCAGTCAAAAAATTTTTCATTATAATGAATACTGTTCTGTGTCTTAGGTCAACATCAGTCTTCTAAATTTTCTATGCTGATAGTCATATGGGCAAAAAGATTACAATACCTAAAATGTAGTCTACTAAAATGGATAAGAAATCTGGGGCCAGGGAGAATAATCAACAGCATAAGCACCTGCCTGGCAAGTACAAGGTCCCAAGTTTGATCCCTGGTACTGCATAAAGCAAAACAAAAATCTGAAAAATATCACAAAGATTCACTGTGGGCCTAATTTTTGTAATTTTATCTACAAACTTGCTATGTGGAGAAATAAGCTATGAGGACAAAGAACTTTCTATGCTTTAAGTATAGAACCTTTCATTTGCTTTTTTTTTTTTTTTTTTTTTTTTTTTCTGAGATAGGGTCTCCCTATGTAGTTCGGGCCGACCTTGTATTCACTTTTGTAGCCCCCATGAGGGTTTCGAACTTGAAATGATCCTCCTGTCTCATCCTCCCAAGCACTGGGATTACAGGCACACCACCATGCTCAGTCTCAGTCTCTATCTCTGTGTGCCCCCGGGGCAGGGCCGGCAAGGCATGCTGGGGATTGAACCCCAGTCCCTGGGCCTGCCTAAGCTGAGCTATCTGGCCAGCTCTGCATATTTGCAAACAAAAGAAGAAC